AGCATCTTTGGATTTTTCATATATACTCGTATATAGTTGCGTGCTAGCAAGACGTTTATGAGATTCCGCATCACGATAATACTTTCCAGGGCGAATGTAATGGTGCAATTTTCACTTTGCCGATGCACATGCCACTATATTTGTAACTATTGATTAGAAGCAGTAAAAAAATTAAATTACCGCACATTTTGTATGATGTCATCTATCTTATCTATTTACGATTGGAGAGGAAAAATATATATTAAATATTAACCGGGGAATCACTTATTGCATGGAAATGTCGACACAAAAGTGTGGCACATATAAATATACCTCTCTAGGATAGGAAGATATACATAACAAAGAGACCGAACAAACAAAAGCAGCTAGCTAGCTAGCTGTAAAAAAGAAAGAAATGCCAAGAAAGATCTTGCATGGATCCTGTCGATGGAACAAGCAAAGTGATCGAGCGTACGTGTGTGGCGGTGCGCGGGCACACGCTGCAGCCGGAATCTGGAAAATAATCCGACGGTCGACCGGGACCAATCTCCTTTCCTTTGCTAGGGCCTCAATCATTGCCGCATCTGATGCATTTTTTTCCCGCGCATCATCTGTTAGCAGATGCATTGCATGCATGGTATAGTACTATGAGCCATTGCTATTGCTATATGCTACCTTTGGAAACACAAGTCACAGATTGACACAACTCCTACTAGGCACTAAAAATCTCAACTCAACTCAACTCAAGATTTGTGGTGGAGGTGAGATCATGGGTGGGTATATATATATCGCGCCATCACTGTCTATATATCATGCTAGACCAGCCTCAGTGGTCGTTTCCTATTCGTCGTATATGTAAGCTTGACATGTCACTTTGATATATTCATCACTGTGTATATAGTACCTCTGGGCTCTATCGGGTGCATATGCACATGATATAGCTAGGGAAAAAATATAGTGATTACAAAAAAGTCAACAAAAATTCAAACCATTTGGGAACAAACTTAGTCTTATTTTTGTACCCATATAAAAAGGTTTTGACAACAAAAAAAAACTCCCGTTGACTTCTGTGCAAAATGTAAATAAAACTTGAAAGGACTAAAAGCGTAAATAGTAACTTGTACTCCCTCCGTCCGGAAACACTTGTCCTCAAAATGAATAAAAGGAGATGCATCTAGATGTATTTTAGTTCTAGATACATCCCTTTTTATCTATTTTGAAGACAAGTATTTTTGGACGGAGGGAGTATATTGTGTTTTTTGCCACAATACCCTGAAATGTATTCCTTGGCAAAACTTATTATACGAGTATACCACTTGATAATGCATGCATATGCACCCGAGAGCCAACCGTCGCCTCCAGCCTCAGTGGCCGTTTCTTATTCGCGGTATGTAAGCATGACATGTAGTGTCGCCTACATATACTATTATGTGTGTGTAGGATATGCTAGAATGCAACATCGTACTATTTAGCATCAAAATTCTTTTATTCTCACTTGTTAACCACACACCACAGATCGTACGATGCCACCTTGGGTCACTGAGTTTACAAAAAAAAAAGAGTAACAAATTCATAGGTGTGTATGTAAATAAGCATGAAACATGTTAAAAATTTCGTACGTGTAGATCATGTGGTCGGGAATTTACATACATGTGAACTTCGGTTGGAAAACATATATAATCGTTTACGGCAATGTAGTCAATTCATATGTATGAATGTATGCATGTGCTTGTGCTTAATTAACCGACGACGCAAATCTTTTGCCTCTCCTCTCGAGAAAACTCTTGAAGAATTTTCTTCGAAACCGTGGGCGTGATTTTGAAAACAAGCGGCAGGCAAGGCGGTGAGAGATGAGATATGGTGGTTTTTCTACAGGAAGGAAAGTAGACCCCTTTTTTTCCAAGAAAGTGATTGGATGAGCATGTGTTTTCTTTCAACTATCAACAGTCAGGTCAGGTCAGAGGTAGTAGTCGTGTAGTGTAGGTAGGAGCTAGGAGGTGCACGTGGCAGCTCCTGGGGCGTCTGGTCCTCCGACGTGGACAGACAGGTCAGCTACACGTGTCGTCCCTCCGATGTGGGTGGGTCAACGCAGCAATGGAAAGCAGAGCTCCTCCTCTGCATCTGCTTCTTCTTCCTCCGGCCTATAAATACCCTCGCCCCTCCTCTGCTCTCCATCCAACTCAGCCGCAGGTCGTACTCCTCCATCACACCCGACCTTCTTCTCGCTTCGATCAATGGCGATCCTCGCCGCTGCCGCCGAGACCAGCAGCAGCAGCAGCCATGCTGCCCATTCACAGCAGCAGCAACTCGCGTCAACCACCTGCAAGGCACCGGCGTCTTCCTCCTCGTCGTCGGAGGAGCCCAACAAGGGCGTGCGGCACCTGTGCGAGCGCGGGGTGACGGCCCTCCCGCCGCGCTACGTGCTGCCGCCCTCCGACCGCCCGGCGCCCCCGGCTGCACCGCGCGGCATCCCGGTGATCGACATGGCGCGCCTCCGCTCCACTGCCCCCTCCGAGCGCGCCGCGGAGCTGGCCCGGCTCGACGCTGCCTGCCGCGACCTGGGCTTCTTCCAGGCGGTGAACCACGGCGCCGGCGACAAGGCAAGGGCCATGCTGGACGTGGCGGCGCGCTTCTTCGCGCTGCCGTTCGAGGAGCGGGCAGCGCACATGTCCCCCGACATCCGGGCGCCGGTGCGGTACGGCACCAGCTTCAACCAGCTCAACGACGGCGTGCTCTGCTGGCGCGACTTCCTCAAGCTGCTCTGCAACCCGGCCAGGCTCGACGACGTCCTGCCGTCCTGGCCACACAACCCATCCGACCTCAGGTATATACGATGGCAATGCTACTTACTTGTACTAAGCTGTCACTAATCACCAAGTTAATCAACACATTTCTTTACTTACTTAGTAGTAGCCATACATGGCGATGATGATGTGATTATGGTGTATATATATATGACCATATGATTTGTCGCCCTATGTATGGCGTTGGAGTATTTAGAAATAATTTGGTATTGCCTTCCACTAAGCTAGCTGGTAGTATTACTACGATCATATGTAGGGCCGCCCTATTCTTCACCCCTCTATTTTAACATCACTGGATCATATTTTTACGTTCCATAAATGTTATCTTGTGGCGTAAGTCAAACGAGTACGTAAGAAGATATATATCGTCTATAAAAACTATTTTATGTAAAACATGCAAAAATATTGTGTTATGAATAGCATCACTGGCCAGTAAGATTATTCTGTTGGTATAGTTAATTTGTGTGGTTGTGGAGCTCACTTGCTTTAGTTATTATATTTTGTAGTAGTAATTAATTTGTGTGGTTGTGGAAGTCACTTGCTTTGGGATAGTAGTAATAGTATTCTTCTTGTATAGTATTTTTGTAGTGTGAGTAGGAGGTGCATGCACATAGGAGGGATTTACAAGAAAGAGATACTCCTGATAACAACAAAAGTTAACAAGGCAGTAAACTAAAGCAGTAGAAGCATCACACTGCTTTTATTCCTTCTTGGGGATAAAAAAATCAGGCCAATTCCATCACAATCCCAATCCGCAGAAATCTGACCGTGGTAGTGAAAGATAGAGTTGAAGTGGACACCTACACCACACACATATTGACATCGAAATTGCTATGCGTACAATACTTTTTTGTCGGACACCTGTACGACTAGACTGTAAAATTTGTTGCATGATGTGGCCCACAAACTGAATTATCTTGGGCTGTCTCTAATCGTATGAGTGTTGAATCGTACGTATAGCAGGATTGTATTGACATACATATGCTGTCTGCTGATGCAACCAAATCCCAATCCAAACACAGAGGGTACCTAGTCTAGCAGCAAATAATTGAGAGAAACAAAGAGAGAGCGCAGCCTTGTGCATCGTAGGTGTCAGTCTCAGTCACCAGGAGCCACGCCACAAAACAAACTACTTTCCGGCTGGACGGCCGGCGGCAGGCATAGGAATGGGATGGGATAGATAGATAAAAACGAATCAAATCCCCAGGAAGATCCACCACTACATATATTCACTTTGTCGCCTGCCAATCCAATCATAGATGTAGTATGTTACTGTTATTTCCTTTTCACTTTCTACCACCACCCTCAGCACTGACGTGTGGGCCCTCTGTTGTTGCAGGGAGGTGATGTCGGCGTATGCCCGCGCGAACCAGGGTTTGTTCCGGGAGCTGATGGAGGCGGCGCTGGAGGCGATGGGGATCACCGGCGAGGGCGTGCTGGAGGAGCTCGACGTCGGGACGCAGATGATGATGGTCAACTGCTTCCCGGCGTGCCCGGAGCCGGAGCTGACGCTAGGGATGCCGCCACACTCCGACTATGGCTTTCTCACCCTCCTCCTCCAGGACCAGGTCAACGGCCTCGAGGTCCGCCAGGGCAACGACGACTGGCTCCTTGTCGACCCCCTCCCCGGAGCCCTCATCGTCAACGTCGGTGATCACCTCGAGGTTCGTACATACACACATCTCTCGAGGCATACACATCTTCCCATATGGAGATCTCGATGCAACCGCAAAAGATAAAAAGTTTAGCCCCGACCTCTGCATATTTGGAATGCACATAACTAGTAGCTCTAGCAAAATAGTGTAGAACTACCGAAATGGTGTCTGTTTTTGCCGATTATAAATAAAGATACTTAGCTGAGCAATCAAATCAAGGCAAATCAGACCGGCCTATGTTTGTGCTAATTAACAAATATGTAGCCTAGATTGCTTGCTAGATAGCCCGACGATTCATGATGGCAGACAAATATATGGTAGGAGTATGGAATAAACTAGCTTGAAAAGTCAATCAGGTAGCCGACGCGTCTAGTTGACAAAAGTTTCAGTTCCAAGAAGCTAGCTACGCTAGCTAAGCAGCATGCATGCATAGACTATAGTCTTTGATCATACTCTAGTAGCTAGTTCAACTCACATGGAAAGATAAGATAATTTAAGATAAGCAATATATGTATAGCAAGTCTTTTGACTTTTGCTCCATCATATCACTCCACAATATACATATGCATATATGCTCAACTTTTGCTTTCTGTAAGCAAACCAGCACTACCATGCTTCTTCTTTTGCGCATTAAGCAAAGGTGCATCTCCTCGTAATTAATTTATTAATTAAGACGAAAAGATTCTTACTTGAAACAATGAATCCAGCATATTTCAATATTTGCAGCATGTCACTCACATCTTACGGCTCACGCCACTCGTCACTCCACAAGCATATACTTTGGGGGCCTTTTAGCTTGTATGATTCTTAATTAAAATAGAGAAGAAAAAACAAGGATTGGGATGCCATGTCTTCTTAATTCCTATGGAATCCAAAAAGTATGGTACCATAGAAAAACAATGAGAGTGAATTAAGAGGATTCAAACCCTCTAAAGTTTTCCCTGAAACAAAAAAAACTATAAATTTTATAAGAAATACCTTTGAAGTAAACAAGCCCTGAACTTCCTTACCTGACGGTATGTTCCATAAATGTATGTGTGTGCAGATATTCAGCAACGGGCGGTACAAGAGCGTGTTGCACCGGGTGCGAGTGAACTCAACGCAATTGCGGATCTCGGTGGCGTCACTACACAGTCTTCCACCAGAGCGGGTAATCGGTCCCGCGCCAGAGCTTCTCGCTGATGGTACCCAACGGCGGTATATGGACACTGACCTGACCACCTTCCTCAAGTACCTCGCCTCCTCCGAGGGGAAACACAAGACCTTCCTCCACTCTAGGAGGATCACTACGTAATCATCGTCATCGACTGAGCTAACTAATTGATATCATTCAAACCGACCATTGGGGAGGGTTATAAAGGATTGTGATTGCCAATGTGCCCTTATTAATGAATTAGGTTGGTTCATTTTTGATTTTTAGCTATTTAACTATATTAAGAACGTCCATCGATTGATGAACGTTGTTATATATGTATGTATGGTACTCCCTACACAGTTAGCTAGTGTTGTGACACATTCAAGATGTATGTATTGATTTTGGTATCTATGTATCTTTTTTGTTCGAAAGGGGCCGTATCTATGTATGTGCGAATATAGAGTCCGTTCCTCTTTGATCATGAGTATTTGTTGCGGCAAAATTAACTATCAAGGATGAACAATTGGTTTTTAATGTCCATGCTCTTGCGCCAGGATTGAAGAGGTTTAAACTTGCATGGATGAATATATGGTCTAAAATGTCAGCTTCACTTTAATATGTTTTTCCGATAAAGGGCCCTTTTATTAGCTTAAAATATATCATCAAGCGGATACAATCATATTGAGCTTCACTTTAATACGTGGTAATGTGTGTGGCAGATTCAATCTTGTGCAATTTCTTGCCTCAAGGAATGGGGAAATTAATGTCGACCTGTGAAATGTGTAGATAGAGATGACTGTTCTAATGATATTGGTGTATATATCATTTGGTTCTCTCCCTCGAAAGCCATTATGTCGTTTGTTTTTTCACACGTGTTTCAAGACTAATAATAAAATAATTTATGGTCGTATGAAAAAAGACAACTTCTAGCATTGGAGCATTTCCTATTGATTGGCAACTTATGATAAGGGGCTTGGTAGTTTTAGTTTTTTAACAAAGTAGTTTCTTTTTTTTTCACAATTGACTATTTCAAGTTAGACTTCATGGCAGTCCTCTTCTCCATCTATACTTACGCCATTATAGAAATCAAAATTTTAGAGTGGACATTGTATAAAGACCGCGTCAATTAATTAGGATTGGAGGGAGTAGTTATTTATCACCAGTTGGAGAAATAGCAAAACTCTCGGAAATTTAATTCGACTCCCAGGAGCACGTGCTCCCAGGGCCAAAAATATATTTTGAAATTTCTAAAAAATAAATACAAAATTTTTATGTGTTGTTAGTCACATCTAAATGCTACCTGCAAATTTTGAGGCAAAAAGGTTAAGCATTTCGGCCCGTGAAAAAAATGAACACGAAATGTTACCCCCAAATGTCAAGCCAAATTTGTTTTTTTTTTCACCAACGAAACACTGCTGCTCCGTTTATACAAATATTCCTGATTTATACAAAAAAGTACAAGGTGTATGTAAAAAACTACAATGTGTATGAAAAAATTAGACATTAAAACATAAGCTAAAACATGCTAATCATGTATTTATAAAGTGTTAAAATTGTATACAAAATATTTTTATTGTACACAAAACATGTACAATGTGTACAGAAAAAGTAGAAATCCAAACATAAATATAAAAATGTTAATCATGTATTTAAAAAATGATAAACATCTACAAAACATTGTTTTTGATGTACACATAAAATATGGAAGGTGTATATCAAAATGAGACATAAAACTATTTAAAAAAAATGTTATGTGTATAAAAATGTTTCTGATGTCAATGAAAAATGTACAATGTGTGTGAAAAGAAAATAATCAACAAAACATAATATTGAAGAAAAATGTTAGTCATGTATTTTAAAAAAAGTGAAACATCTATTAAAAAAGGTACCTAATGTAGACTTGTGTTGGAAACCCCCGAAGAAGACTAAGAAATAAACTAAGGAAACCCCCCAAAATAAAAAAATAAAACCCGAGAAAACCAAGAAGATACAGAAAAATGGGTGTATATGGAATAAAAAAAATAAAATCTAAAGAAAACTGATGAAGAAAAAACCCAAAACGAGCAATGATCAGAACGATGCACAACTGAGAAAACATGTTACTATGCCGACATATTCACGTGGCAGTACGTGCAACTAATCAAAGGTATTCTTTGGAGGGCTCCTGCAAAGATCACTTTTTTGGCATGAGAGCACACCAACTGCCCCAGCTGCCGACACATATCGCACGACCTATTCACGTGGTAGTACGTGCAACTAATCAAGGGTATTCTTTGAAGGGCTCCTGCAAAGGTCACTTTTTTGGCATGAGAGCACACCAACTGGTGCCCCAGCCGCCGACACATATCGCACTCTTGGCGCATCCTTGGGATTCTGTTTTTTATTTCTGCATTTGTTTTTCAGTTTTATTTCATTTGTTTGGTTTTTCCTAGGAGGCATCGCTTTTTGAGGAGGAGCACAACATATGCTTCTGGGAGAAGCACAATCGTGCTCTCCGAAAAAGGAAAAGCATAACTATGTGAAGCACGGTCTTGCTTCTGCGACAAGCATAATTGTGCTTTCCAAAAGGAAAATGCACAGCTATGCTTCCATCGAGAAAAAGAAAAATACACAGTTTGTGCTTCTGCACCACGAGAAGCACTAGATGTGCTTTCAAAAGAAGCACAACCTATGCTTACACGAGAAACAGAACTCGTGCTTACACGAGAAGAATAGATGTGCTTCCCGAAAGGGAAAATCACAGTTATACTTCCACCAAAAAGAAAGGAAAGACATATCATGCGCTTTTGCGAGAAGCACAGACATGCGTATGTGAGAAGCACAACCTGTGCTTTTCTGGAAAAAGGATAAAGCACAGTATATGCATCCCAACAAAAAAAGTGAAAATACAATTGTGACTCTGGGCTCCGGTTCTTTTCTTTTGCTTTTTGCTTTTTTCCGTTTTTATCTTTTCGGGTATCCAGGGTTTTCTGTTAATTCGTTAAAATAGTTCATCAAAACTATTAACATGGATCTAGTTTCGAAGACCTCGACGTGAGAAATCCAATGGTGAAAATGGTTCAGGATTTGGATGTACGGTTCTAAGTATAAACCGTTTTGAAAAATGAATCTACGAATAAAAGTGAAAAGTCCAGATTGAGATAAGTGACGCACATGCAGTCCAGCACCAGAGAAAGTAGGAAGTGATCTTTGCAAGGAGTAATCCTTAACTAGTGATTCGACGCTATAAGCAAGATTTATGTCCCGCCGGAAGTCTCGGGCGTGTCTAGGTAGCCTCACCTTCTTAAGCCATATGCAAGTGGGCCAGGCCAGTAGTGTGCATCTGTTACTGGTGTCCTTCCGCGATCTCTGTTTGTTAATGTGTATTTTGTTTTTCCTTTTTGTTTTTTTCTTTATATGTTGACACGTTATGTTACTTCAAAATTTGAAAAAGTGTTGATTGCACGTTCAAGAAATATTCATGTAGTGTAACCTATACTGGTGCAACCTTGTGAATATTTTTCGGAAAAAACAAAGTCGCATGATTTTTTTACACTATAGGATCATTTTTCGAATGTGCATTCAATACTTTGGGGAAAAATGTTATTACCATTAGAAACAATGTTCATGATATTTTAAAAATGTTTTATGTTTGTCAAAAAAAGTTGTGGATTTTTAAAAACCATACAAGGTGGAAAATGTCTGTGATATTTTAAAAAATATTTATGCATTTCAAAAAAAATAGTTCATGACATTTTCATATCCATTTATACAATATAAAAATGTTCATGTAGTTCATAAAAAATGTTTCGTGGCACCAAAATTTTGTTCAATATGTATTTGAAAAAAAAGTATCCCCATAAAGCTGAAAACATATATTTTTATAATGTACGCCGTCTATTTGGACAATCTTCTGTGTGTATCTAAAAAGGTTCCATTTTTAAACTAATTGTACAATGTGCATTGAAAAAAGTATTCATGTCTTGGGAAAAAGGAAACAAATGAAGAAAATTGGTGGAGAAACATATACGAACCGAAAAGAAAAAACGTCGTGTAGAAGTTTCTAAAACCGGTCATAGAAGGTTCCTACACCACCTCACAGAGACGGATACTGGGCCGACACATCTTGTGATCGTCTACTTTGAGACAGTGTGTCGTTTTGCAGTAGGTGAGATATATAGTGTTCGTGTAGAAGGACAACGTTTGCTATTTGACGCATTTTGCGTCCATAATGGTCCAATCGCATGGAAAACTAGAATTTGGGCTGGCACATTTAATAGCTCCTCATTACTTTGCTTTAGAAACATTCTAGAATGTTTGATGTTGGTTTGTTCTTTCCCCGAAGAAAAATGTTGGTTTGTTCTTAATCTGCTGTTTTTCTTTGCCGGTTTTCATTTGTTTTTTTAGTTTCATTTTTTGTTAGAAATTTTTTTAAAATGGAATTTTTTTTGTATGGGATCTAGTTTCTAAGATCTCCACGCAAGAAATCCAATAGTAAAAATTGTATAGAATTTGGACATACAGTTTTAGAGATAAACCGTTTTGAAAACGAATCTATGAATAAAAGGAAAAAAAAATCCCAGGTTGCGGCAAGTGACACACATGCAATACAGCACCAGAGAAATCGGGCAGTAACCTTTACAAGGGATAACCTTTAAGATTTCGCGTTATAAACCAGATATACCTCTCGCCGGAAGTCTCGGGCGTGTCTAGGTAGCCTCGCCTTCTGAAGTGATAGGCAAGTGGGCCGGACCAGTTGTGTGCTTATGCTAATCTCTGTTTCTTAATTTTTATTGTTTGTTTTCCTTTTTTTTTCTTGCATGTTGAGATGTTCGAAATATATGTATTTAAAACATTACGTTACTTCAAATTTTGAAAACATGTTGATTCAACGTTAAAAACATGTTCATGTAGTGTAAATAATATTCGTGCAACTTTGGAAAATGTTAATATCGTTAAAAACAATGTTCATGAAATTTACAAAATGTTTTACGTGGTTAAAAAATTATGGATTTTTTAGGAAGAAAATTACGATGTAGAAAATGTCATGACAATTAAAATATTTATGCATTTCAAAAAATAGTTCATGACTTCTTTAAAATGCATGTACAATATAAAAAATGGTTGCGTAGCTCAAAGAATGTTTCGTCGAGGCAAAATTACGTTAATGTGTATTTTAA